AGTGAAAGGGTAAGAAAGAGGCATTTATATCTAGATGCTAGGATAGAGATGATAAGGGAAACAGGGAAACAGAAAGACACAATGAGAGGTAAAGGAGGTGCTGTGGGATTGGTGGAAGTCAATGTTTGTTTTTCTTTTTCGTGTTTACATTATTAACTTGTAAGACATGGATTTGGGGTTTTTTTGTATGCTGGTTTTTGTGTTTTGTGTATTGTTATTTTTCATGTTGATGTTGTTGTGTGGAAAATACTAATAAAATTTATTATTTAAAAAATTTAAAGAAAAAAAGATTTCCGCTTGCACAACCTAAGCACATAAGAGCCTGCTGGATCAGGCCAATGGCCCATCTAACCCATCACCCTGTTCTCACAACAGCCAAAGAAGTGTCTTTGGGAAATCTGTGAGCAGGACTCGAACACAAGACTCACCCTCTCCCCTCCTGTGATTTCCAACAACTGGTCTTCAGAAACATTGCTGTCTCCTAACTGTTGGAGGAAGAGCTTAGCCGTCATGGCTAGGAGCCATTGATAGCCCTCTCCTCTGTAAATCTGCCTAGTCCTCTTTTTAGAAAACAGTGCAAGAGGCAATTGGCCCACCTGGAAGACCTCTTTGACTTGATGCCACACCAACCTTTGCCTGCAGAGGACATGCCCTTGTTGTTGTTGTTTAGTCGTTTAGTCGTGTCCGACTCTTCGTGACCCCATGGACCAGAGCACGCCAGGCACTCCTGTCTTCCACTGCCTCCCGCAGTTTGGTCAAACTCATGCTGGTAGCTTCGAGAACACTATCCAACCATCTCGTCCTCTGTCGTCCCCTTCTCCTTGTGCCCTCCATCATTCCCAACATCAGGGTATTTTCCAGGGAGTCTTCTCTTCTCATGAGCTGGCCAAAGTCTTGGAGCCTCAGCTTCAGGATCTGTCCTTCCAGTGAGCACTCACTCAGGGCTGATTTCCTTCAGAATGGATAGGTTTGTTCTTCTTGCAGTCCACGGGACTCTCAAGAGTCTCCTCCAGCACCATAATTCAAAAGCATCCATTCTTCAGCGATCAGCCTTCTTTATGGTCCAGCTCTCATTTCCATACATCACTACTGGGAAAACCATAGCTTTAACTATACAGACCTTTGTTGGCAAGGTGATATCTCTACTTTTTAGGATGCTGTCTAGGTTTGTCATTGCTTTTCTCCCAAGAAGCAGGCGTCTTTTAATTTCGTGGCTGCTGTCACCATCTGCAGTGATCATGGAGCCCAAGAAAGTAAAATCTCTCACTGCCTCCATTTCTTCCCCTTCTATTTGCCAGGAGGTGATGGGACCAGTGGCCATGATCTTAGTTTTTTTGATGTTGACCTTCAGACCATATTTCAGACCATTATTATGCCCTTAGTTTGACATAATAAGGCCGCTCTTCTTTCTTCCTTTCTTAAAAAATATAATATTTTTGTCCTATCTTATATATTCCTCCTCCCTGAGCTGCCTGGTTCTTCAAGCTTGACAGCAACAGCTGCAGGAAGGCTCCGTAGATGACTGGAGCCGGGCTCTCGGCTGTTCCTTGCCATCTCCGAACAGGTTTTTGGCCAACATCTGTCCCAGATGCGCTGACTCCAGCTCTCCCTTGACCTGCTATTTTGTTCTACTTAGACCAGATTGTCCCAAATAAATCACTGCGATCTGGCAGAGGTGAATCCGGCAGGCACTTTGCCGAAGAGCATCTGTGTTAGAAAAACGCTGCCAAAGTCATTTACAAGGAGGTTAATTTATTACGGAGAGAGACCTTGGTCTTCCCAAGCTGTAATTCCTAAGTACAGGGGATGAAATGGGCTTATTGCAAGGAGAAACCTCCACTTTGTAGTTCCATCCTTTCGTCCACTGCCAAGAGGCTAGCATTAGATGGTTGCAATAGCTTAGAAGTGGACTATAATGGGCCTCTTTCCCAAGGTTCTCCTGACATGGAAAGAGACTCTCAGGCAAAGTGCTGCTGCCCAGGGGTGGAGGAGTAATAATATAATAATAATTTATTATTTATACCCTGCCCATCTGCCTGGGCTTCCCCAGCCACTCTGGGCGGCTTCTAACAAAATATTAAAATACTGTAATACATCAAATATTAAAAGCTTCCCTAAACAGGGCTGCCTTCAGATGTCTTCTAAAAGTCTGGTAGTTGTTTTTCTCTTTGACATCTGGCGGGAGGGCGTTCCACAGGGCGGGTGCCACTACTGAGAAGGCCCTCTGCCTGGTTCCCTGTAACTTGGCTTCTTGCAGTGAGGGAACAGCCAGAAGGCTCTCAGCGCTGGACCTCAGTGTCCTGGTAGAACGATGGGGAGGGTGTGGTAGTTAGAATATTCTGTTCCACCTTAAGAGGGACAGGCATGACTGTTGGGTGTCACATGCCTGTTTACACTCCAGCACAGCTTGCTGGGAACTTCCGTTTTTGTGTATAGCTTTTGCTTATGCTGCTTGCTTGGACACGAAAGGGAGAAGACATGTTTTTCCTTTTTGTCCTGCTGTACGCTGAATAAACTGCTTGTAAATATGCTTCACACAGCCTCTCCCTGCCACTTCTGTTGTGCGTTTACTCTGCTGAGTTGCATGCCCAGCTTCTGAAGCTCTGGGTCGCAGATTCATGCTGCACCAAGGACTGGAGTTCGACCGGCACGTCGGCCTGTGGGCTGGAGCCAGCTGTGGGCTTGCCAATTTGCCCGCGATTCCTTAGCAGCATCCCAGCGGTGGTGACACCTGCTGCCCAGGGATGGAGGAAGAAGGGTGCGGTGGGTGTGGGCCGCCCTGGGTGTCACCACTGAGGGGGGTGACAAAATGCCAGGTGGCACTCACTGCTGGGCCTGCAGCGCGCCTGAGCCATGAATCTCTCCTGGGAGAGACGCGGTGGCTTGGGTGCGCGCAGTCTCCGCGCTGCCCAAATGGTCTGCCCGCTGCCAGCCCCCCAGCCATAGGGTGGTTGAGTGGGAGGAGGCAGGCAGACTCCGGATGCCCTGTGGTGCGCCTGGCCTCTATGGGCGGCTCACCCCGCCCTTGGCCACACCACTTCAGGCACCCAAGCAGCTTCCTCCGCCACCACCGCTGCCTCTCCCTTGGGGGAAAAAACCCCCTGGCAATTGAGCCAGGGACATTCTGCATGCAATTGTTGTTGTTGTTTAGTCATTTAGTCATGTCCGACTCTTCGTGACTCCATGGACCAGAGCACGCCAGGCACTCCTGTCTTCCACTGCCTCCCACAGTTTGCTCAAACTCATGCTGGTAGCTTCGAGAACACTGTCCAACCATCTCGTCCTCTGTCGTCCCCTTCTCCTTGTGCCCTCCATCTTTCCCAACATCAGGGTCTTTTCCAGGGAGTCTTCTCTTCTCATGAGGTGGCCAAAGTCTTGGAGCCTCAGCTTCAGGATCTGTCCTTCCAGTGAGCACTCAGGGCTGATTTCATTCAGAATGGTTAGGTTTGATCTTCTTGCAGTCCATGGGACTCTCAAGAGTCTCCTCCAGCACCGTAATTCAAAAGCATCAATTCTTCGGCGATCAGCCTACTTTATGGTCCAGCACTCACTTCCATACATCACTACTGGGAAAACCATGGCTTTAACTATACACACCTTTGTTGGCAAGGTGATGTCTCTGCTTTTTTTTTCTCTCTCTCTGCATGCAAAGAGCTGAGCTATTCCCCCTTCTCCCAAAAGTCAGTAATAAACCACTCTTCAAGCCCCTCTCTGTGCAAGTCAGCTTTCCACCACCTGGGCAGAGAAAACAATTGTGTCTCCGCGCTTTCCCAAGTCTCTGCCTACATGTTTATATTTTTTTAAACACGAATGACTCAGCCATCGTGCCTTTCTAAGCCAAAACAAATTGAAGCGTGAAAAGAGGCGGGTGTTGACAAGCACACACCCAAAAGTCTCGAAACAGCTCCCGATTTAGACATGCCAGCAACATGCTTCTTTCCTTCTAGCCCATATTCTGGCATGGCTCAAATGTGTATATCCCATCCGTGTTTCTTCTGATTTTAGAAAGTCACACAGAGACGAAACGTGTTCAACAGCTCTTGTATGAATCACAAGATCGCGGTTAAAATTAGGCATCGCGGAGCTTGCCTCTCACCCCGCGAACTTGCCCTCCTGGCCCAAATCAATTTATTTCCCTCTTCCTGCACAGATCAAGCCTCCCATCTGCTTGGTGACCCGGAACATCGCACCCTAGTTAGTATATGCAGTGTCTCACTCAAAACCTTATATCGCTCTGCCTTGCTGCACCGCAACCCCCCCAAAAAAAACCAGAAAAGGAGGCTAAGACTGCTGAGAAGTTTTTAAAGTGTGCCCATAGTTCTTTCTAAAATGTATGAAAATAATCAGCCTGCCTTTTAGCCCCACAAATGGGCTCTCAGTGTGGTTTTGTTCTCTTACCTTTACTTATAGAATCAACAAACTTTGTATACAGTACTGCTTGACAGTAATAAACTCTCAAATAAGTTTATATAAAATAATTATGTAAAATCATCAACAGTTATAAGCAGGCATTTAAAAACTGATTAAAACCAAGCTGCAGATTAGAACGCGTGTAACTTCTACATGTGGAAGACAGGAGTGCCTGGCGTGCTGTGGTCCATGGGGTCACGAAGAGTCAGACACGACTAAACAACATAAACAAACTTCTACATGTCTGGCTAGGCTTATCTAAACAAAAATGTTTTAAGCAGGCTCCTGAAAGGGTACAGAATCGTAGCGTACAGCAAAGGTGCCTGCCTGGTGTCAATAAGCGGGGAGTTCCAAAGTTTATGTGCTACTACACTAAGATATCTATTTCTTACCGCTGTGTAAGGGGAATTACCGTATTTTCCCATGTATTGGACAAGGGTTTTTGACTCAAAAATCACGTCAAAAAACTGGGGTCGTCCAATACATGGATAGTGGCATTGGGGGGGGGGAGAAGCGCTGCGCCACCAGCAGCGAGCGGGGAATGATCTGGGGGGGGGGTGTTTCCTGTCCACAGCTATGTGGGGGTGGGGGAAGAAGCTGCGTATGTTTAGCGTGGAAAAGAGGAGACTGGAGAGGAGATAGGACGGCCATCTTCAAATATCTCAAGGGTTGTCACATGGAAGATGCAGCAAACTTGTTTTCTCCTGCTTCCCTGAACCAATGGCTTCAACTTACAGGAAAGGAGATTCCGACTCAACATCAGGAATAACTTCCCGATGGCAAGAGCTGTTTGACAGTGGAACGGTCTCCCTTGGGAGGTGATGGACTCCCCTTCCTTGGAGGTTTTTCAGCAGAATTTGGATGGCCACCTGCCATGGATGCTTTAGCTGAGATTCCTGCATTGCAGGGGGTTGGACTAGATGACCCTCGGGGTCCCTTCCAACTCTGCAATCCCACAATTCTCTGATACGGACACAGAGTCAGACCTATGGGCCCATCTAGCTCAGTACTGCCAACACTGGCCGGCAGCTGCTCTGGAGGATTTCAGGCAAGGTTATCCCACAGCCCTACTTGGAGATGCTATTGGGGACTGGACCTAGGACTTTCTGCATGCGAAGCAGATGTTCTACCACAGAGCTACAGCCCTTCTTGATCCAGAGGCCAGCTCTGCGACGTGAATATACCGTATTTTTTGCTCTATAAGACTCACTTTTTCCCTCCTAAAAAGTAAGGGGAAATGTGTGTGCATCTCATGGAGCGAATACAGGCTGCGCAGCTATCCCAGAAGCCAGAACAGCAAGAGGGATTGCTGCTTTCACTGCGCAGCGATCCCTCTTGCTGTTCTGGCTTCTGAGATTCAGAATATTTTTTTTCTTGTTTTCCTCCTCCAAAAACTAGGTGCGTCTTGTGGTCTGGTGTCTTATAGAGCGAAAAATACGGTACTTTTGCAGTTGAAATAGGAGTTTCACAGGCAGGGGATGTGGGACTAGACAGAAAATCTTCAGGAGCAACCTTGCAAAGTCCTCTGGAGGGGAAGATACTGAGCAGAAAGTTAAAAGCGCATCTCATTTCCAGTCGTAAGCTGCGAGAGGATCACGGAATAAAAAACTGCATTCCGTAGGGTCAGATTACCACATGGTAAATTAAAGGGCAATTATTTTCCGCGCCACTTAGCGATGAATAGGCTCAAGCACACGCATACGTGCGCATGAGAAAACGTAACACGTTTCTGACAGTGAATACCTGTTCAAAGTTCCCACCCGAAAGCAGAATATTACCATTGCATTTCAAACTGTGATTAAGTAAACTTTCACGGTAAAGAAAAAAAAAAGGTATATTGCAGCCTTAATGACTTTGCTTTAATAAGACCTAAACTTTTAATTAACCTGCCAAGACAAATTACAGCCAATAGCTCTCAGGTAACTACTGCAGACAGCTGAGACTCAGAGCCAAGGCCCCTTTGGGGAGAAGGATTAATGGAAAGCTCGGAACGACCCCTCGTTTCGCAGTCCAGGAGAAAAAAAATTGGACCATTAAATAATCATTGTGGTTTGGAGAATGCTAAGTGTTAATTTTTATGGGAGGGTCTGTGAATTACAACAAGATGGATTAGGGGGCGAAGGAACACGCTTGGCCTGATTCCGTGAAATATAAAATAGCTGTTAATTATGGCCACCCTGTGTGGTTTTTATTGAGAGCCTCCTTTTTAAAAAATGAAATAAAACCAGAACAAAACCAAATACTGACTGTTGAAAGAATGTCCGTCTCAGCTTTCAGCACAGCAAAAAATAATCTAGACTACTTGACGAGGCTTCGTAATGTAGCGGCTGTGAGCTACGAGTTAAGAAATTCCTGGATCAAATCTCTCACCAGCCCTGAATTTGCTCTGCCTAAACCTCACCCTGACCCAGCAGTATGAGCAAATTAATGCTGCCCCACCATGCAGTCTTGCTGTAAGGATGTGGAAATGTACAATGCCCTTCAGACAGGACCAAATCACAACACAATTACTAATTGAGTTATTGTTGTTTTTCTTGAGCTGCAGAAGCAAGTTTGGAAATGTGGCTGTCTCCTTTGTCATACATTGTGCAAGGGGAAAAAGACGCGGTGGAAACAGGTGCCAAAATAACTTTGTGCCACCCCACGATCTCGGGATTGGAAGATGTGTAAAGGTCACAGTCCAAAATGTATCTGACTGGTTTTGCATATTGTGCCAATAAAAGGAGCCTCCACAGAGCTGGCCAGCAGCTTGCTTGCTTGCAGCTCACCTGTGCGCAGCTCACCTGCATTACCAACTCCTGCCTCATGACCTTCACTTCAGGGGTCAATGGAAGATATTGCCTAAGTGGTGCCCACAGGAGACAGGTGTGCTAGCCGGGACTTCCGGTGTTGCTCACGGAAGGCCTCAGTAATTCTCCCTTTAATATTCTACAATGCACAAGGAACTCTCCTCACTTCATTCCTGCCTGTACTTGCTCAGCTTCTGCCGTGTCCATGTGATCCTGTAAATGTGTTCCCATGTCGCTGGGTGCTTTGACTGGCTCCCCGTCTCCCTTCCGTTCTGAACACGGGAGATGCATAAAGAGTTTCTCTCTGCGAACAAGTGTGGCAACCATTTTGTGGTCTTGCCTTTTTACCGCTCTGCCCAATCTGGCAGCCATTTTGTGCTACGCCACGAGCCCCACAGCAGCCCATCCGGCACCTGTGGCAACGCCTCAAGATTACAAACATGCGCACGCCGCCCCAAGAAAGGTTGCCTGGTCTGCAGCATTCCTGCGACCGAGAAAATATGAGCACCTGAGCAAGTTTGGGTCAGGATAGCATCCCTGCGAGAAATATTGTTTGGTGTGGCGGAAGACAGGAAGATGGCAGCCCCAGTACCAACACTGGCTGAAAAACAACCAAAAAGCATACATTTTCAAAAATTTAGTTCTTACCAACAGCAGTGGTGAGAAACGAGACCACCTCAGACTCCTTCCCGTCGTTGTAAAAGGCGAGGTGCCACATCCCTGAATCCAAATACTGAATAAATCCCGTCTCGTGGCTGGCTAGTGGCACAAAGCCCTTGTGTTGCCGCTGAGGGCCTTCCAGACTCCGGGCCTCCTGAGTTAGCAGTCTCCTCCCATCCAGAAGCTCTACAAAGTCAAACTGGAACACAAGGAAACGAGGTGAAAAAGGGCAATTCAGAGACCTTCAGCAAGTCAAATGACTTCCGATGTTTTTTGGGATGCAGCCTGGTGAAATCTGCATCTGTATCTAGGTTACAGGTGCGCCACAGAATTTCATTAACAGGAAATACATCTATTTTTCATTTGTCGTACTATTATTTCCTTTGGGGGGGGGGAAACACACGTGAAAACAATTACACGCAGGGCTTCCCCCCCCCCCCCAGCCAGAACTCAGTTCCGGCACCTCTCAATTGAAATTTGGGGTTGGGGGTTAATAAAAAAATTAAGGCACCTCTCAAATACTTAATGGGCAGGAAGCAAAAAAGTGGGTCTCCAACAGTGAAATCTTGTCTTCAGAATTTTTGGGAGTTTTAACCCCCTTTTTTGAATTTTGGTCATTTAAGGTTTATGATTTTTCTGTTTCCTTCTGAGGAAACTGAATAGTTCAGTGAAACGAGGTTTGTAGCCGGCATCCCTTTAAGGCTTTGTACAATTCTAGGTTTTTTCTCATTTTTTCCTTAAACTTTTTGATTTTTATTATTTAGTTTATTTCTATAAGATAATATTTCTAGTCGATTACTTCTCGTTTCAGGGATTTTCATGGTATTTCATTTGTTTTGTGTAATCTCTCGGTTCTGTGACTGTCTTTTTTCTACTAAAAACAACATGAGAGCAGATAAATTTTAAAACACCCATGGCAGAGACCTGTTCATCCAGCAGGGATGAAGCTGGTTGGAAAAATGTCTCCAGTTGTTCCAATTTAATTGCAGTAATAGCATTACTTGTAGTATTAATAATATGACCTCCCATCCTGCTAGGTTAGAAGGCTCTGAGCTGCATATATTACCTGAGCTCAACATATACCCTCAGGTGACAACATTCTTCTTACCTGTGTGTGTGACGGCGGAAGGCCTTTCCTGCCATAAATCCCAACCAGAGCAGACTTCCCTAATGAAACGTTGAACTTCAGATGTACCGGGTGGTCAATGAACACCTGAGATCTCCAGAAGATACCGGGAGCGATCTTCTGCATGGCTCGCCTGCCAACATCAATCTCCCCGGTGTCTATAAAACTGTCTTCTGGAAAGAAACTACTGGGCTTCCCTGCTGAGATAAAGGAAAAGAAAATAAAATATTGGATTATAAGGCTGCCGCCCATCATCGCCTCCGCGGCAGCCTATGGCGATGGCTTCTGGGAATGAACGTGCTCCTGCCTGTATTGTTATCTCTCCCCCCCCCATATTTTATTATCAAAAGCCACAAAGCCAGAGGGGTTGTTTGCCCTGAGTTGTGGGGTGTGGGTGTGCGTTTGCACATTGCAAGTAAGTGCAATGGGGCAGATGTGGGGTCAGGGTCATCATCAACCCTGGAGATTCCTGCTTGAAGGAAACATCTGAGAACATTCAAAGGAAGGGGATTTGGGTAAGACTTGTGGAATTTCTGTGGAGGACCCCTGAATACTGGCAGTCCTTTGCCTGCTGGGCTGGTTTTCTGCTTGTGGAAAGTTTATTCTTTGTGGACGGTGTTTGAAATCGTGATTCCCCCCCCATCTGCAGTCTGAAGTGGCACAGTCCATAGAATTGCAGAGCTGGAAGGGACTAGAGGCTCATCTGCAACGCAAGAATTCCAACCAGATCGTGCATGCCAGATGGCCAAACTCATTCTTCTGCCTGCACAGCCCTTTCTCAGAAGATTCCACATATCCTGAATTTGGGGGGGAGTAAATAAAAAATGAAAAGCTGACCTGAAATGTCTATTAACGTTGGGTTGTGTATGTCTGTGTATAGCACCCAATAGTAACTTGGGTCTTTAATTTGTGTGCAATTTGTTTACTCAATTTTTGTCTCTGAGCACCTAAAAGCTGGTTTGTATGCAGGTCAGTGGAACAGAAAGCTTCCACAAGCAACTGAGGGCTAGATTTGGCCTCTGAGGAGGTCTGAAGGGCAGAGGAAATTATGCATATTAATGTCTGCTGAGACCTGTGTGGTACAGAGAAATTTTGACTAAGAATCCAAATCGAACTCAGCCCATCCTCTGACCTGCAAATGCTAACAGCTGACTATACTTGCTATTTCCTGCCAGCCCCACATGAAACAGGG